GCCAGCGTGGTTTAGTAGGCCAAAACCTCCTTTCTAAGGCGAGGCCTATGTCCAGCAGTGGACTATTAAAGGCTGTTGATGTGATGTGATGTGATGTGTCATTGAGAAATAATTGGTAAAATGAAAAATTAAAATCGATTGATTACGAATATATTCATATTTTCATTTCTGTTATAATCATTTAAGTAGTCATTGGTGCCATAACACAGGTACATAATCATGTTCTGAATTGGAAAAATGGAGGATTCTATGTATTTGAATTATTGTGGTAATCAAAATTTAGAAGGGTAAGGTTCTCATTTCTTTTATAATCATTTATTAAGTAGTCATTGGTACATAAAACAGGTACATAATTTAATTCACGTCTGTACAAGTTTTTGGCGCTAAAATCCAGCCGAATACTTTTGCCTAATATTCGGCTATTCGGTCAGGGGCCTCGCCGAATATTCGGTATTCGGTATACTGCCGAATATACTATTCGTTGCAAGTCTAATTATTTCATTTATTAAACCCGGAGCCGTCTTTACTCGTCAGGCTAGCGTGCTATAGTAGGCCAAAACCTCCTTTCCAAGGAGAGGCCTATGTCCAGCAGGTGGACTACTAAAGGCTGTTGATGATGATGGATCCCGAAGCTATGGTTTATATAGGGTGTCCATGAAAATGGGGCACAAAAACCAATTTGAATTTTTGAACCAAGGGTGAGGGTCCTAATTAGGACCACTGCGAGCCAGCGCACGTACTAATTAATCCTATAAAATTAATAAAATGCCTTTCTGTGTATTTCGAAAGTGTAAAAAGGTAAATAAAGATAAAATAATATCATACCAAAAGGTAAGTGTACGTTTTATTCTAAAGATTAATAGATGTATGTACGGTTACGGAACAAATATTTTGTGCGTGCAGTATGATTGTAATTTATATTTCTTAAAATATCATTGCCTGCATATAATAAGAGTCGGAATAAAACCTCAAATTTAAACCTACTGCCAATCCGACTGCACGGATGGCGTAGATGTTTAAGATGTCACTGCGCACTGCGCTGAGTGCTGTGGGTTCGATCCCAATACTTTGTGTGATCCACAAATTGTTGTTCGGCGTCTGGGTGTTCTTTGTATCCATTTCGTATATGTCTATAAAGTCCCTCGCGACCCAAGAGCCTAGCACGGGAGTTGTTTTTTTTAAATCCCTTTTGCTTTTTAATTACCTTAACCTTTCAAAATACTTTTTGTTGGTAATAATAATAATAAAAACAGTAATACACCTTTCTGGGAAATGAGGCATAACTTTTATCTATATTTTGCATACAGTTAACCTTACAAGTAAGTTAACTCTACACAGGATTAAGTCTAGAGAAATAGTAGGAGTAACGATCACCTTTAAGCAGCATACCATAAAACGTTATATTTATTAATAGGATTAGTAATTAAAGGAACAGAACGCCTACCTAATGCCTAAGCTCTCAGCTTATTCTTGAACGAAAATATGCGCAGACAAACAAAGCCATTATAAACGATATAAGGCACAAATGTAGGCAGTACCACAACGGAATGATACAACAACAAACCACATTGTATGAACCTGCTCTGGTCTGCTTGCAATCTCAATCCATTGTCGGCGAGTTTCTCGCTGCTATTCTATTGCAGCCAAGAAACAGGTTGACAAATTGAGACCAGTTGGGAGCAACTAACGGAGAAAGCTAACATTTATAGTAAAGAAGAATAGAGATTTATAGGATTAGCAGTCTTTGTTTAGACGATCAAAATACCGCAATGAATTAAAACATCGGCTGTAAACGATTTTTCGTTAACAAATTGGATCTGTTTACTTAATTAAACTTCGGAAATATGATTGACATCACATATTTGCTCTTATTTTCTTGCATTATATCAAAACAATTAGAAATAAATCCTTAACAAGCGACAAGAGTAGGTGTACTTTATAAAGCAGAAATATAACGATTTAAATGGTACATAAAACTCATGCAATCCTCGAAATTAAGTTAAGAGATCTTAAATAAACACACATATTGGTTCTAATTCTGTTGTTTGAAAACTCTCTAAACTAAAAATCATTAAAAATTATTTTAGTCCTGACAAATACTACGTTATCAGAATAGGAAACCTTGTTTGACAGGACTAAACTAATTTTTAGTCATTTTTAGTTTACTTTAGTGAGTTTTCGAACACCGGAATTGGCACCATTGTCACTGAATATATCCGCGTAAATATCTTTAGTACAATACTCGTATTACTCTGTAGCGGATAATTAAAAATAAATGCGTTTCTAATGCATGTTTTAGTCGCAAGCAGTCAAGACCACTATTTCGGTTGCGGAACCGACGCCTTGTGTGGCCATTAGTAAACAACTGCAACAAATTGGAAGCTCACTGCGGCACACTTGAGTAAAGGTGACGCATACAATATACGTATAACAGTCCTCAGATATCCTTCATGCAAATATTTGGTATATTAGAAATACTTGCAATTGTTTATCTGTTGGGTCCGTTAAAAATCTGGAATTCTTTAAAATAATTCCGTATACGGAAAACGAGTGTAATTTATAATATAATAATAATTGACTGTGCGGCTGGCGTAGTGGTTTAAGTGGTCGAAACGCCGCTTCCTACTATGCTGAGTGTTGTGGGTTCGATCCCCACATGGGACGACACTTTGTGTGATCCACAAATTGTCGTTCTGAGTCTGGGTGTTCTTTGTGTCCGTTTCATGTATGTTTGTAAAGTCCGGGATAGTGCGGGAGTTGTACTTTCTTTAAAATAAAAAAAAAAACAAATATTTGAAAGTCGTTATTGTGTCTTTGTAGCAAAAATTAGTTAAAAATATTATACAGTTAAAGTACTGGCTTTCTTGATCAGCTATTAAAAATATGTCATAAAAAAATATGTATTTAAGTATGTTTATCAGCAGGCTGGTTACGTATAGTACAGACTCTGCCTAGTTTGGGATCAGACTGCCGTGGGTGAGATGTGTAAAATTATGTATAATGGGATGTTGATATATATTCAGAACAGTTTTCATTTCATAGCTAAGCCTTAACTTTGGGAATATACTTTTTTGATATTTTTGGAGAATGTGAAATACGATAAGAAAGGGGCTATTGAAAAAAAATTAAGGAGATTCTTAAATAGCTAGAAAATTTTAAGTGTACGTACGAATTGATTAAAACAATTTTTTCACATTAAGTCGGGAAACATACACAGGACCTTTATCGACTATCAAATTCCTAAAGGAAGATTTACCGGGATGAATTCAGGCGCCAGTCTGTAGATGTCACTAACCAGACCGGTATCGTGACTCATCTGATCATCTCTCAGTTTGTTTGATAAATGATCGATCATGATTCTAGTTGTGTCGTTTTTATCCCTAATCCTGATGATTATCTTGTTTTGAAACAGTCTGCATGAAACCGCTGACAGTTCCTAGATATGTATCTAATACTATAATGGATGAAATGGTAACAGATTTGTTTTGCAAAAGTACGACCCAGTTAATACTCATCTGTATGCAAGGATGCTCCATATTCTTGTTTTGTGCTTTTGTAATTATATCACGTATAAATTATAATTTAAAGTTTGACTATTCTCTTTATTAAGTTTCAAAATTCATTCTCATAAATGAAAAAGTTAATATTTATATGTATATAACTATTTGTAATGTGTGTGCGGCCCCGGATTCAATTGAAAGCCTGTAGGTACAGTTGTTCAAGCAGCATCACAGATTTAAAAAACGTTTAACATCAATAATTCCACAACCTTCTTCATAAGTGGCACGAAACGGGAGAGTAATACTTCACTGCTTACCCCTTCAGAGACACACAAGCTTGACTGTACTATAAGTATTACATATGCAATGTGGCCACGATGCAGATATACTTTTCATAATATGACTGTTTACATTCCGATTCGATCGAAACACAATTTCACTCCAACGTTTTGAACCACTCTTGTCGCCTTATCTTCAACTGTTTCACCGCCTCGACCGAGATCGGATCTCGTATGTAAATGTTGAAAGGCAGGCTGAAGGCTGACCCACAATCCACTGATCAGTAGCTCTAAGATATCAGCTTTACTTGGCATCAAACACACTATAAATTGTATTAAAAACTTCTTTCTTATTTTATTCAAATGTCTTTAAACATTTTATGTAACAAATGTTTACCAAGTTTATAAATAAATATCTAATAATATATATTATTTTACTGTAGCCACAATACTTGTGTATGTTGTGATTAAAAAGTATCCGTGTCATATATATTTGTTTTAATAGTGCCGTTGAACCTTCTGCATATTAAAATTAGGTTTTAAATTGCGCTTATTTGTTATATTCTAAATTAGCTCATTGTTATTAATGAAAAACGGTTCGCTGTAACTTATAAAATTACTGATCAACTTATTGTGAGAAACTATTAAGAAATTAATTCATTTGTTAAACCCTGAACAGTGAATATTTAACAAAATCTGATGTCCTACACCTTAAGGTATTTCCATACACCTAAGGTGTCCAACAACTTTATTTGTGGGAAACTTGTGGAATACTTTTGCGCTTATAGTGTTGACAAATATGTCCTGAACCATTAGCAGAAACAGACCTATTACGAACGGAATTAGTGGAAAACGATAACATGATATGTATTTACCGCGACTGTGTTTAACAAGTGAATGTCCCCGAAGTGGCGTGGCGTTACGCGTCAGTATCAGTTACCAATTTGTACACCAGACTCTATTATTAAACACAAAACCATTATTTGTTACAGATCGTGTGAACAATCCGGCCGGATCGTTTCGACCGCGTAAACCAAGAAACCGAGTGTCGCAAATGATACGGCGCAATAGAAACTAACATGAGGGTGTTGGGTGTGATGCGTGTCAACCGAACTGATAGCTAAGAGCGAGATCACAGCAAGCGGTATTGGTGGATTGGGGCAGGTTGTAGTGCGGGGTATGAGACGGGGTGTTGTGCAGTGACGGCGTCCGGGCGGCTGCCATGGGCGCGGCGCGCCATGCGTCCGCGCACGCGCCCGCTGCGGCTGCTCCTGGCAGCGCTGGCGCTGGCCTCGTGCGCCGCCGCCCCCGCGCCCGAGCCGCGGGCGCAGCGATCCGCCAACCTGAGCCATATAACTGGCACCTCCCGCACGATACAGATGTTCCTCAAGAATCGTTATCTTCAGCTGCTGCCGGATGGCACAGTCAACGGTACCACAGATTACAACAGCGTTTACAGTAAGTACTTTCTAAATTTCATCGTTTTGTAGAAAAAAAAACGGTGTCGGCTTTGGTAGCATAATGACTGAGGCGAAGACTGCCACCAAATGGTTGCGGTTGTCCATCGATGTAAACCTCTCTTAACACAAGACTCTAGCTGATAAGTAGTTTAATTTAAAAAAAAGAACTGGAAATAACCAACTAAGTTAAAGATCATCGTGGTCCTTTTTTCTTAGAAAAAGCTATGTTCGGCAATGCATATGTATGTTGAGTATGTTCATTCACTAGACGTCAGTTGGTCCGTCATGCGTAAAATACTCGTAATGATAATACATAGTTACTAAATATAATTGGCAGAATAAGGCTATTAAAAATACTAATTTGATGTGCCTACTGGCAGTTACTGGGTGGACTTCTTTAATTGTTGAGATTGTTAAAATTTTCACCGAGATTTTTTTGATCCCCTCATTTCTTTACGCAACTGTCGTCGCAAATATATTCCGTAGACATCTTTTGCATTCCTAAACTTGTGATTATTGTAACTAAATGCATGGGAATAAACACAATCGTTTGTGAATTCGCATAGACGATGTCTATAGTGATTCTAGTGAACAGTGAGCAGCATGTCTATCATCATCACATCGTCTTCATCGAAACATCTCAGTGTGATGAATGATTCATAATTTATTTTCGAGCCTTTACAAAAACTATTCCGATCATTGCCACTTGCGTACGTACAAAATACCTACCTCGTTTTGCGGTATAACTTTTTGCTAAGCGCTTACTGCCGTGTTGTTATCTAGATTGCAGCGGTACATCGACAGTTCTTGCAATTAGACTAATTGAATTTCTTATTCATTTTTGTTTTGTTTTACAAATAGGCCTCCATTTTTTATAAACAGTATTATTTCAATCAGTGCGTACAAATCTGAGTTACATTTTGTTAAGAACGGAAGTTATGTGTCTTGATGAAAATATTTGAGTTATAATAATGTAGGTATTTGTTGCTATTGTATCATGCCATATTGAGGAATTTGCTTCAGATTTCCTCAATTGTCAGTAACAGATATCATCGTATATATTACAGTTAATTCGAACAATTTTGTACAACATTCGTTGAATGCTCGTCTTACAAGTAAGTGTAATTTAAATGTGTAGCAATATAAAAAATCTTCCGCTCGCTCTTTTGCTAGTTTGTGCACTGATATACTACGGTTCACCGAATAGCACACACGGTGTGTCAGCAAGTTGCTTAAACGCAGGCTCATACGTCATTGGCAAGGAAGGCGATGGCCTTCCTTGCCAATTCCCACTAACATTTAATCTCACTAAGTCAATCTTACTCAAATATCCTATTGCCTTATTCTATATTGATATATATTCTATTATTGTTTTAATTCTTAATGACTAGTAACGTAAATAAAACTTTGACAATCTATTACCAAAACGTGCGTGGGCTTCGAACGAAAACTGATATATTCTATCGTCAACTGCTATGTACATCATTTGATGTTATTATGCTCACAGAGACATGGCTGCTGGATGGTATAACAGACTCGGAGCTCTTTGACAATCGGTATATTGTGTGGCGTCGCGATCGTGAATATGTTACCACGGGTCAGACAAGAGGTGGAGGTGTCCTGATTGCTGTTCGTAGGGAAATGCTAGCGATGTCTCAACCTAGTTTTCACTCTACAGCGGAAGATCTATGGATAAGGATACGCTTAAAAAGATCTGACACTCATGTCTGTTTTGATCTTTACCTCTGTGTAATTTACTTGTGCAAACAGAACCTTGGATATTCATTTTCATCACAACTTGCTAACTTTCTTTTCGAATTGAATCGCACCGTGGTCAACAATATGTCGGATACATTTCTTATTGTGGGTGATTTTAATATGAGTGGAATAAACTGGCAGCCTTCAACTGATCAGTGTCTTGTTCCTACCAACCTTAGTACATACGATGAATACTCATTGATTGATGAACTATTTGCTTTAAATTTTGAACAATATAACGCCACTGTCAATAAGTACGGTAAGACATTGGATCTGGCTTTTTGCAATAATTATATAAACATAACTGAGTGCTTGGACCCCTTAGTGCCTATTGATGATTACCACCCTGCACTATTAATTAATATAAATTTCGCAGAAACCACAACTTTACGGTATGCGCCGCGTACCCGTTACTCATATGACAAGGGAGACTATAACGCCATTAACAGCAATATAGACTCCATTGATTGGGACACGGAGTTCTCAATGCGCTCAGTTGACGAATCTGTTGATCATTTCAATCAAATTATACTTGATCTGCAACAAAAATATATACCAAAAAAATACATTAATGATAAGTCTTATCCGATATGGTACAGTCCTACGTTAATAAGAATAATAAAAGAAAAATACAAGTACCTTAAAAAGTTCAAGACGTATGGAAATAAGTCAGATGAATTGGCGTTTAAACTCCTCCGAGCGCGAGTTAAAATGATGGAGTCTGAATGTTATACATCCTATTTGGAGCTTACGGAGGCATCAATCAAGATTAATCCGAAACACTTCTGGACATTTGTCAAAAACCGTCACAAATCCAACTCGATCCCTAGCTCCTTAACGTACAATAATCAAACTTTGCTTACAGGGGAATCAATATGTGACGCGTTCTCTACTTATTTTGAATCAAACTTTCTTAAAAAGTCTTCAAATACAGTCGATAACAGTCGTAAATCCAGGTATTCTCTCTCTACTTCCGACCTATGTAAAATTACAATAAACGTTGACTACGTTGGTGACTTAATTCGAAAGCTGGATACATCCAAGGCCCCAGGACCGGATAACATATCTCCAAAACTTCTTGTGCACTGTGCATCATCCCTTGCCCAACCTATTTCTATAATTTTTAAGAATTCCTTGTCCTCTTGTTCTGTCCCAAAGGTGTGGAAATCATCTTTCATAACACCTATCCACAAAAAGGGTGCAAAAACAGAAGTCACTAACTATAGACCTGTCTCTAAACTCTGTATAGTGGCTAAAGTTTTTGAAAAAGTAGTCTATGACCAGGTATACTCAGCCCTAAAAAATTCTTTCAGTCCTTCGCAGCACGGTTTCTTAAAGGGCAGATCTACTGTCACTAATCTTGCCTTACTAAATGATTTTATCACTGACACTATGGACAAAGGTAAGCAGGTTGATGTGGTCTATACTGATTACAGCAAGGCCTTTGACCGTATAGATCATGATATCCTCCTATTAAAATTAAATGGCATGGGTATCCATGGAGACTTGCTGCGGTGGTTTTCCTCGTATTTGGAGAATAGAACTCAAGCTGTAGTTCTCAATAACTATATCTCTGGCTGGGTGCCTATCTCCAGCGGCTGTCCTCAGGGGTCTTTGCTCGGACCCCTTCTATTTACGATATACGTGAACGACATTCCATTATGCTTTAGATCATCGAGACTCCTATGTTTTGCTGACGATATGAAAATTTTCGCAGCGATCTCATCACTTGAGGATATGACCGCGCTTCAAGCTGATTTGACTCGTTTGGAGGAGTACTGTCGAAACAACAAGCTAGATCTGAATGCTACAAAATGCTCGGTGGTGACATATTCGCGAAAGCGATCCGCTATAACTACAGCCTATAAGTTAAACGGTGATTCGCTGCCTAGATGTACTTCCGTCCGGGATCTGGGTGTCACGCATGACTCGAAGCTGATCTATGAAGAACACATAGATGCAATCGTTGCCAGAGCTTCTAAAGCATTAGGATTCATAATGCGACTGTCTAGGGGCTTCAAACAGGCAAAAACTTTAAAAATTCTGTATTGCACCTTTGTTAGAAGCCATTTAGAGTATGCATGTGAAGTTTGGAATCCTTGCTACCAAAAATATGTAGACCGAATTGAGAATATCCAGAGAAGGTTCATAAAATATTTGTGCTTTCACCAGAAAGTACCTTATCACTCGGAAATTTACTTTGACCTTTGCAAGAAGTACCATTTACTACCCCTTACAACGCGTCGTGAAATCGCTGATTGTACCCTATTATTAAAAATTTTCAGTAACGAAATTGACTGCTGCGAACTTTTATCTAAGTTTAATATTAATATTCCGTCAAGAACTCGCTATAACCCACCGCTGAGTGTACCATTTGCACTGACGAACTATAGAAAAAATTCTTTTGTTATTCGTTCAACTAGAAGCCTCAATAATGTGTGTGAACAATTTGGAATTGATATTTTTAATGTTAGTGTAACGGGAGCGAGGAGGTGTTTAAGCCTTAAATTCTTCAGGGGTGATGGTGGGGGGTCTGAGTAGTTATTGTTATGGGTCCTGTCTGTTTTGTGTGTATATTATTACGTTCTGTGTAATTTGTAGGTGATCTGTGCCTGTAACTTATATAATACCTCTTGATCCTATTCTGTATTGTCTTATGCACTGTAACTTATCTCTGATTTATATAAGTGAGGATTTGTTATTGGCTTTCTGTTTTCTTGACTGTTTTTATTGTAATCATCATAGCTGTAAATCCTCCATAGTTGTAATAAATAAATAAATAAATAAATAAAAAAAATCACGCATTTTTTTACTTCTTCTTTCACAATCTTTATGCCAGTGTTAATTTACCCGCCAAAACAGCAAGTGACATTGAGATATATCTTCTCAATTTGTATACAATATAGTCAAAAGATTACGTTAGTTTGGCCTTGACACGCAGTCTTGGTATTTGTATATTAATCAATATAAGTATGATGTATAATGTATATCTACTCATGTATTTTTAAAGTGTACTTTAGGTAGGAAATTCTTCAAATTAATGAGATATATTAAATGCTGACTTATATTCGAAATAAATTCTGGAGAAATAAGTTAAATTCAAGTCTTGTATAAGTTACTTGTTGACCTCGCAAACGTTGTTTTGCCATATACATTAATAAAAAAAAAAATGTGGTATGAAACATAGCTGTTAGCCGATTCTCAGTCTTACCCGATATGCACACAAAATTTCACGAAAATCGGT